AAGACACCTACAAACCTAGCCTGTGAGTTCATCTAGGGCAGGGGCAAGCTTTGTCTCCCATGCCCCTAACTTAACCCAGGGCCCAACACACGAGATATGCCAGCATGTTCATGGGGTAACTGTCTTAGTCCTGAATCATTTTCATCATTAATACTGCTTAGATATCACATATTCATGTTTGAATCAAACCAAGAAGAGAGAAAGAGAAACTTCATAGGAAGCAAATTTACCAAGTGGTCTCCCTATATGTAGTTAGGGGATAGGTGACCAGCTTGAGAGGTTATGGCCATACCTGAATAAGGTGATATTAGATTACCTTAAAAAGACTTAACAGAACCTTTGAAACCTCAGACACAATGTATCTGTGGGAGAAAGGGAAACTTTCTGCTTGTACACTACAAAGATGGTGTTGTTTTCTAGCACAAATGCACTCCTGCTTTGCTTAACTACTGCTAAGACGATGAATGACCTTAAAAACAGGTGGGGAGGAATGGTGCGTGGGAGACAGCCCTATTAACACACAAAGCACCTCCACACTCTTTCATAAATGGTTTATCACCCCTCCAAAGCAGAACTGAACTAGAAACAGAGCAAAAGAAAGCACTAAAAATTGGCCTGGTTGGCTTGCTCTCTCTTTCTTCGTCCCTCCTGCTCTCTTTTTCTCTCTCCCTCCCTCCCTCTGCCTCCCTCTCTCTCTCCTGTGGCTGTTACCTGGTATGGTACATGTGGCCTAATGACATTTAAGCAATCTGACATGTACTGGCTCAGTCAAGCGTTGCTAAAAAGTACAATCCATTCTCACTAGAAAGCACAACTAAAAGTAACAGGATGCACAAGAAAATGTTTTCAACATTAAATTAAATGACACTGAATAGCAACAAAAGCCCTAAAAGGAAACTGAGTGAAGTGAAAAATTTTATGAAGGTCCAGAAATATGATCACTCAACAGCACATGACTGAAAAACTCTAGGAGCAATAGTGTACTTTTTTACAAAATAAATTGTTGAAAGAGGTCATGTGATTCTTAATAGGCAGAAAGATGCACTTTCCCAAGGAAAGTTCATCATTAAATGTATTATTTAAGACTGGATTATCGTCATGCTATTTTTAATCCTATTATTTTGCTGCCAAAACTGTCCATGAACAGCTGATACTCAGCCACTAGAAAAATGATGCTCTTTCACGTATTTTGTACACTGGCATGAGAATGGTGCTCCTTTCCAGTTAATCAAATGTTTTGCTGGACGTGGACTGCATCCAGAAAAGAGAAACTGCTTGCTAACTAATAAAAAGGAAGCTGACCTCTACTGGGTGATGAGAACTAAATTCCTATCTTCCCAAAACTACCAACACCAAAACACCAAAAACAAAACAAACAAACAAAAAACAAAGAAAATCAAACCACCAACCATCTGATCAACAGAATAAAGCCAGTGTCCTACAGTCTCATGTTTGAAGCACCTTATTCTACTAGGCTGTACCTCACACCTTCCTAAGACATGAGGCTGAATGTCATTGCAGTTCTGTTTGGAAGGTTTGAATTCACTCATCATCAACTTGCCTATCTCTCAGCTCTTTGCTTGCAGAAGTCCTTTTGTCTAAAAGTAACTGCAGGGTCATTAAACTCATCTATTTAAACTGTGGTAGGAGGGGATAAAATAATAACTAATAGAACCATTAAAATGGTGATCTCTTACCTTTAATTACAGTAGAAACTCTATCTTATTTTAATGGGACCAGTGATGCTAATACCCATGGTATAAGTACCATGAAACCATTCTTGAGAAGATTGGGTTTGTAGTATCTACGTATCTCCTTCATTCCAATCTCTTTCTTCCTGAAGGTTAGATCACTCTAGTGGACATCAGGGAAATATTGAGTTTTCCAGGTAACACTCTGGAGGCTACTGAAATGGGACACTGCAGAATTCATCCCAGGACATGACTCTTCCTAAAAAACACCCCAAGAATCGAGTATGGTAATCAGCACCTCTGACCTGAATGTACACACAGACCACAGATTCCAACTCAATAGCATTGACCTGGGATTCTGCAATTCTAAGAACCTCCCTGGTGACAACCATGTTGCCAGTCTGGGAGCTACCCATCAGCTACAGGGTCTTAAGACATTTTCTGGATCTGTTGCTCTCTCACTGCTACCTCTTGCTTGTCTTTTTCTCAGTGCCACACAATGCCTTCCTCAGATCTAGGAAAAAAGCCACATCCCCCTCTATACCCAATTACTACTTTAGCCTTTAATCTGTAGGTTTCTGGGACCATCTTTTGGAGCCTGATCATTCCAAGGACTACTTTCTCTTTTTTTTGAAACATGGAATGCAAACAGTTTTCCTCAGGCTCAGAAGGTTCTGACTTTGCGGCAGAAAAGAAAAAGTGACTTCAAGTCTAAAGCCTCAAGTGTTCAATACTGTGTTCATATATGAGCTGATCCACTGAGCCCCAGGAGTAGTGCAGATCATGGTCTCACATCAAGAAAATATGCTATCTCTTCTGAAACTTCCCCATTTATTAAAACTACACTTTAAGATGTAATTTCTTATTAGACATAGAACTTTGGTACAAATTTGGAGGAAAATCTGTCTGTATGCCAAAAGCCTAAAATAAAAATTTAGATAAACAATGCACATTTGAAAGGATAGCCAAATCATTTATAACTCTCAAAATATGGTTTTGTTCTAAAGTGTCTACATATGATTCCATTTTCTGATAAATACCTTCTTTTAGCCAAATTCCTTTGTTTTCCTATGTAGTTCATCCATCTGTGTATTGTTCTGAAAACTATTACGTATTTTTACTATCAGCCATTTGTGGTTCTATATGATTTATTTTTACCATAAGGGGTTTTGTAAACATTTTTTATCATGTTGTACAATATGTCATTGTGGTTTTGCATCATAAAATGTAGCCTGTACATTTGTCAACTTCAGATACCTGTTGACCACAAAGATAGGCTCTACAATGCAAGCCTTACTGTGAAAGGAGGAAAAAGTGATCATTTACAAAGAAAGCTCATTTAGAGATGCTAACAAACGACAACTCAACAACAAAGGCCAGGGTTGTATCTACATTTCTATCACAAATATATGACCTTATTTCCCACTTTTGTATTAACTTACTTCATAGACAAGTTATCACCTTGGGTTTCTTTCAACTTCAAAGAAAAGTTTAAATTTTTAAAAAACATGAAGTAGGAAAACTATTAAATAAGTTTTACTTTGGTTTTAGAATAATCCTTCTGACATTTGGAAATCCATACCTCTTTGGAAACAGTGGTTAAAAACTGAACCACCTACTTATAATACACATTTAACAAAAATGCTATTTTTTTCACCCTTTAGCAAATTTTTCCAAAATTACTAAAGATGTGGGTGTCACAACAAATAATTCATAAATTTAAATTTTAGAGCTTTAGTGAATTTTACTTTTAAACATTAAACAGTGGGTCAATATTGTCAATTTTGGTCAAGAACATCAGATGTTCACATCAATCATTCTACTTTTTATGGCCTTTTCTCTTTTGGGTCCTGAATATTAGCACATTTTGTATACTGAAGTAAAATACATAATGTGCATCTTGAGATTTAATCTATTTGCAGTCATTTCAGGCTTTTTTTCCTCCTATAAAGTAACATTAATCATTCTTCCCAGCCACTATGAAAGGAGGCACCGAATTGCAATCTTTTTCAAATATAACCCTAATTAAAACAAAAAGTCTAAAAGAAAAAAACTTCAGGCAAGAATTATTACTCTTCCATAAACTGATCATTTTAAATATAAGATGCAGATCTTAAGTATGAACCTCAAGTCTTAGGATCTGTTTCCCACTCCCAAAGAATCACGGAAAAGATGAACGGTGCACGCCTGTAATCCCAGCACTCAGGAGGCTGAGGCAGGAGGATTGTTGTGAGTTCGAGGTCAGCCTGTGCTACAAAGTAAGTTCAACACTAGCCTGAAATGCCTAGGGAGACCCTGCCTGAAAAGGACAAAAAAAAAAGCAGAAGAAAAAGAAAAGATGAGCTGTACAGTAAAATGATGGACTCTATGTAGCATAGCACCAGGAAAAGAAATCACCTTGTAGATGCTCTTCAAAGCTACAGATATCAGTCATTTCAACTTAAGTCAGGGCATCTCTCAATCCACACTAACAATTACTCCTTTTTACATTCTCCTAGATACAAGCAGTTTTCAGTAGAGGAGACCACAATATTATGTGGATTCTAGGTGGTGAGAAGTAGTAGACGCCAGTAAACTTTAAATCACACATGCATTACAGAACACAAAGTATGCGGCAGATGCAAAATCTATGCCTAGGGATATAAAGCATCCACAGCCCAGTGTTCTTCTAGACACACACCCCATCACATCCACTGCAGACAGGAGTCCACGAACTGCAGTGAAAGCCAGCTTACCTCTTCACAAGTACTGCTTAAGTTTTCCAGGGAAAGGAACTACATTAGTTTTCTTCTTGGGAAAAATTTTACCAGATGAATCAGAAGAGGTCCTCTGGTGGAGTCTGTTCACCTAATTGGATGGTTCTCAAATTTTACTACACTAAAGAACCCACCAGGGGAGCCTGCATACTAACCAGATCCAACCCTGGGGATCTGGTTCATAAGTAGTCCCTGAAATCTATTTCAACAAGCTACCCAGGACCAGCTATCCCTGATGCTGGGAACCCTGAAGGTTCAGAGCAGGAAACACTGAAGGGATACCGCTTACGCAAACATCTTACTGGATCAGAAACGATGGATCTTTAAATTCAATGGCTGGCAGCAAGTTAAACACTTTTGGCGGCAAGAAATTATCACAGTCTGGTTGACTGGGCGCACTTGGTCCAGAGGAAAAGCGAAGAAAACTACAAACCCGGCTTTATTTCACTGGCCCAACAGCCTGCACTTGACCCAAGCGCCCACCCACACGCCTGCCGCGGCCTCAGAGACCTGAGACCTCAAGCCCAGAACACTCACTCAAACGTGCACCTACCCAGCCTCCGTTATCTTGGATCCAGGTGTGCAGGTGCCGGTTCAGGTACTCTGTCATCCAGAGGGCGATGTTGTCCACCAGGGGCGACATCTCCCGGTTGACGCTCTCCACACACATGACCCCACCGAACTCAAAGAAGGCCACAATCCTCCCCCAGTTCACCCCATCCCTGAAGAGCTCCTCCACCACCGTGGCAAAGCGTCCCCTCGCGGTGAAGGGCGTCAGGTGCAGCTGGCTGGACATCTCGGCGAAGTCGCGGCGGTAGCGACGGGAGAAGTCGTCGCCGGCCTGGCGGAGGGTCAGGTGGACCACAGGTGGCACCGGGCTGAGCGCAGGTCCCGCGGCGGCGGCGAGGCCGGCCAGCGGCGGCGGCGGCGAGGTCCTGGCGGCCGGGTCCCGGGGCGCAGCGGCCGGGGAGTTGCGCCCGGGCTGGAAGGAGAAGATGCCCGGCGTGGGCGCGGCCCCGGGGGGCGCGGCGCTCTCCTCTCCGGCATCCCACTCGTAGCCCCTCTGCGACAGCTTATAGTGGATGTACTTCATCACTATCTCCCGGTTATCATACCCTGTTCTCCCAGCGTGCGCCATCCTTCCCCGAAGAAAAGCAGCCGGGGACCAACAGCACCTCTCGCCCCCGTCCCCACCCCTCAACCCCGAAAGAAAAAAAAGAATAGTTACAATCCAGCTATTTTATTGGATGTGCTTTGCATTCTTGGATGGGGGGGTGTCTCCAGTCACGCGGAACTCTTGATTCTGGTGTTTCCCCCTTCGATGAGATGGCAGGAAATTTTTATTCAAACTCCTTTCAGATCTTCATTTCATGAGGCACATTATTATTAAGTATTGTTAATATCAGTCTACTTCCTCCGTGATGCTGAAAGATGAAGGAAAAAAACCCCCAGTAAGTCGAAATCAGGTGCATTTTCCTCAATGCACTAGGTGAAAGCCGGGCATACCCACTACAAGTTACACCTTCAAAAAGAATGCATCAAACTGCCTGGAAATTAAATTTACTTGGATGCACTTAAAGTCGAAAATCTCAACTGTGTCCACTGAAAGTTACAGTAAACCAATTTCCTGTGCAAAGAACTTACTTGTATTTTTTAAGAACAGCATGATCCTCTATCAAGTTTCCTTTTTGGTAAAACCAAAACAAATGCGTAAGGCAACGATCCATCAACCTTCGGAACTCTCCGTCTGTAGCTGCTCTGAAACTTCCAAATGAATCGGGGGCGGGGGGCGGTTGCAAAAATGAGGATTTCCAGATTGATTCCCAGACTTCGGCTTCACAGAAATGTCAATCCGCAGGAATCCCAACCGGAGGTCTCAAGAGCACGAGAAAACAAGGCAGCGGCGGCGGCGGCGGCAGATGAATTACAACGTTCAGTCCAGCATTTGCAGAAGTCCTGTGATTTTCCCCCTCTCGGCAATTTACACACGCACAGACACGCGCGGGCACAGACATGGATCTCTGTCCGCGGAACTGCTTCACGCCTCCACGGAGAGGAGAGAGACACGGGAGGGGGACGAAGGACGAGCCGGGGACGGGGGCAGGAATCCTCTTCGGATTAAACTCCGAGCGGCAAATGCATTTTCCGAAAAGCTGCTTGATAAATGAAGGCAGGACGCGCCCGGCCCGCCGCCGCCGGTGCCGAGCGCGAGCAGCCCGCGCGCTGTGTGTGGTGCGGTGGGGAGAAGGAGGTGGTGGGGGAGGGCTTTATTTTTTCCCTCTTTTCCTAAAAAGGATGACTGCTACGAAGTTCTCCCCCCCGGACCCCTCTTCCGCTGCACCCCACCAGCGCACCCCGCCTCCGGGCTGCGCACCCTTTCTCCTCCTCCTGCTCCTGAGCGGCGGCGCAGGCGACGGCCGCCTCCTCGAGCTCCCGCCGCGCAGCCCGCTCCGAGGGTGACGCTGCCGGCGCGGAGGGC